AACAACATATGGACAGAGAGAATGATTATAATCCATGTCTCATGTCCATATGATATATAGAATGGAGGAATATATGATCCCTTATCTAATGGACGCGCCAAAGTTTGACAGCGGCTTTTAAGAGCTACGATTGCTAGTCAGTTTTTAAGTCGTACTTGTAGTTATAGTTATTATACTTATCCAAGTGGGAGACTGTTGGATTAGGTGTCTAAGCCCATAACTATAATTGGTATGTACTTGATCCGAGAGTAGCATGGTCCATTTCGGATTGCTTATCACAAGGACAATTTGATAGGATGGATATTTGAGTAAGAGGTTATTTATTTTTGATTTATTAATATATTATAAGTATAATATATTAATTGAAGAATCATAGTATTTAATTAGTATTGATCAAGAATTGATTTGAAATTAATTTAGTGATCAAAAGAGACTAATTAAATTAACGGTGACTGATTAAGTAAATCAGTGATACATATATAGTTTGGGCTAATGATCCATATTGATTAGTAATGGACTAAGTTCATGTAAGACTCCATGAAGAGTTAGTCCAAAGGGCTTATGTGACATCCCCATTTTCACGGCCAGAAAAGACCGATTTTGTTTATGCTTTATAAAAATCATAGTTCCTCTTTTAATAAAAATGTTGCGGAATTCGTTCCCAGAAAAACACGATAATTACGTTATTAAAACATTTTCAAAGAAACGTATTTTATTCATTTTAAAACGTTTGGGATGTCATCGTCAATACAGGAACATAAGCATAAACAAAAATTACATTTATTTACACTAGTGATCTACATATCTTTAATCTCTCAGTGTAATGTGACTTCATATCAACACATGTGATATAAATAAACTGAGTGGGTTAGGTTGGGAAACCTGGTGAGTACATAGGGTTTTCAACCCACAATAATATAATTATTGTGTTTAAACAATCAAACAATCAACCCAATTACCCATCCCCATTATCTTCTTTACTCTTAAGGATTTATCCTAAGAGTCATCTATTCTGCATTCGTTTATTCCGAAGTCCCTTACTTCCAGGGTTATAGGACTGGCACTAAATCCATAGCTGCAATGTTCGTTCATAAAGCGCTAATTCCATAGCTGCTATAGTCTATTCATCGGGTACTAAATCCATAGCTACCGGTGTTCATCTAATTGGTACTAAGTCCATAGCTACCAATTCCTAACAAGTACTAAATCCATAGCAACCAATGTCTAATAGGTACTAAATCCATAGCTACCAGTGTTTGTCCAATCGGCACTAAGTTTATAGCTGCCAATGTATACTCTCATCATCTTATATCTCTCGTCATTCATCTACCCGTGTCATACCCAACATATTTGTATATATAAAATACGTATACAATTTAAATCATTTAAAACATGTATAAAACGTTCATCCAACATAGATAGCAAATATTCAGATAATATGCACACATAGCACGTAGTTTATATAAAATACTTCATATCTATGTGTAAGATGAAAGGGAACTATGCACTCACTTGAAAAGGTGGTGATTCCGAACTCAGACAGTGCTTCACATCTTGAAAAAAAAAATTCCTTCGACGAAACCTAGTATTATTACCACTAGAGTTTAGTCTATTATTCACCGAGACTAATTAATAGTCTAGCTATTATTACTATTATATAACCGTTAAATAATACTTATATAATCCATAATAATAACCCAATTACTTATTATATGTTCTTAATAACGTTAATATAATTAAATAAAAACTATATTAAAAATAGCGTAGGCGTAGCTCACTTACAGCGGGTTTTATAGAAAACCAGGCTTTGCTTAGAGCAGCATTCCCATGCGGAAAAGCTCTTTTTCTCGGAGCCATCGGGCACTCAGGGGCTTCCGCCTTGTGCTAGGGAGATTCCCTAGGCTTTTCGGGGGGTTTCGGGGCTAGAGAGAGGTTCTAGAGAGAGAGTAAAGAGAAGAAAGAATGAGAAAAGTGTGAAGAAAATGAGGGTGGGAGAGGTTCTATTTATAGGGTGAAAAATGACTGAACTTGGTTCCACATGCCACCATCTAGTGGCAAGACTTGGGGAGAAAGCAATGGCCAAGATTGTACCACATCACCAATTTTCGCACAACACACTTCCGATTTCTAAAATCCGTAACTTTCACATACAACCTCTGTTTTTTACGTTCTTTATATCCACACGTAGGTAAAAATAATATCTACAACTTTAATTTTGACTCCGTCGGCTAATTCTCGACCGATTTTAAATTTAACAGTACGAGGCGTTTAGACTGTTAAACGATCGCGAAGAATTCGTAACTCCTTCATACGGACTCTGTTTTTGTCTGTCTTTTTATTGTTAAGTTCCTATTAATGAGATCTTCAACTCTCATTTAAGTCACGTAAGCCAAAAACCGCTCGAACTAAAATTCAAGTTTCGGGTCGTACACTGTTAAGCCAAATCTTAGAAAAATCATAACTTCTTCATACGAAGTCAGATTTGGGCGTTCTTTTTATGGATTTTCTCGGTTTAACATATTATATGACTTTTGTTTAGATCACTAAGGCTAAAGAGTCCTCCATCGTAAAATCACTATTTACGCTTCCCGGTGCCGTGCCGATTCCGTTGCGAAACTTCGACGGGTCATAACTTCTTCGTTATAACTCCGATTTCGATGCTCTTTATATGTACGGAAACCTTGTGACATATTCTACAACTTGGTTAAGATTATTTGTTCTAAATAATCTTTTGTCGAAAAGTCATTTTCGACCCCTGTTACGTCTAAATTGACTAGCCCGGATCTACGGGCGTTACAACTTATCATATAGATTATTGGATTAAGGCCCAAGGAAGTGGATTAGGGTTTAATACTTGGAATTCTACACTATATATGTAACCCACTAAGCCAAAAATCATACACACTAGTATTCTATGAGACGTAGCTGATGTTTGGTGTGCCTAACCTCTCTTTCAAGTCCTTAATTTGTTCATGGTGTGTTGTGAACCGTTTGAGGCATCACACTTGGGGTACTAAGTTCTTAAAGGCCAAAATTCAACAAGCTACAACAAGAGGTAATCTTCTAACTTACTTTTATGATTCATATGCCAAATTGTATGCTAGTTGTAGGCTTCATGCTTTGGAAAATTTTATTGCATGTATAACTAAAGAAAACTTAGATCCAAAGCATTTAAGATTGTATGTGCACCATAGGAGTGTTATAGTACATAAAACCCAACAGTAAGACCATGTGGAGAGCCCATGGCTTTCCTATTAAAGACCATGGGAGAGCCCATGATACTTTGGTGTAAGACCATGTGGGGAGGCCATGACATCCTGGAGTAAGACCCTAGGGACGAGCCCACGACATCCCTATATGTTGTATCCATGGCTTATGTTGCTTATGTGATTGATATGATCTATGTGATTGATATGGTTATGCGAATATGTGGATTATATGGATTATGTGGGGTATGCTCTGGGGAACTCACTGAGCTTCGTGCTTACAGTTTTGTTTATAGTTTCAAGTACCATCGGTTTGGAAAGGAAGGCCCCGGCTTGATCGCATCACACACACCCGTGTTTCCGCAATGTATGATTTTGGGGACGAACTCTGATGAATGTGTTTAATTAATCATGTTTTTGAAATGTTTGGATTTAAATATATATGTGTTTTGACTGTATTGAAAAATGAAATTTTTATCCTTGATTTTTGGGTTGTTACAAAAAATTTGGGATAAACTGAAAACTTATGTTCATATGTACTCACTTTCTTTTATTTCTTCTTATTTTCTTGTTTCATGATCATGACGATTCTGTGCAATGGCTTCCCAAGGTCAATGAAGTTGTTCATCGTATCATAATGGTGTGAACAAGACAATGAAAGATTGGTCATAATAACATCTCCTAAAGGAAATATTTTTTTTTGTTTTGCTTACACCACTATGTGACGTTGAACCACTTGAACAGCCTTCCAAAGTCACCAACAAAATCTTGATTCTACGAGAGATGAAAAGAATAAGAAATAAGAAAAAGTGAATACACATCTAAGTAAGGGTTCAATTTAACCCACATGTTTGTTAACTTTGATCAACCACTTGCCAAATCAGCTTTTTGCTTACTCAGTTATGTGATGATAAACCACTTCATGATGAACCACTTGCCACCATGGGTGGAGCCACCCTAGCACCAGGGTAGACCTAGGCTCACCCTCAATTTTTTTTTTTTTTTTGGCTTTGCTGCTACTTGCCACATTAGTATTTTGCTTAGTCAGCAAGTGACAGTTATGAAACACCTAAGCAATCCGGTTAAATAATTAAATTTACAATAAGTTTTAATTTATTGACTTAATTGAAAAAAAAAAAAAAATACAGTGTGAAAATCGAAATTTTATATAAAGATAATGTATTTTATTAAATTTGCCCAATAAAAAACCTAGAACCAAAAACCTATCAATGAAAAAAGATAATCATACACATATTTACATAAACCCAAATTAAGATATATTAGATATAGTATGTGAATAGTGGTTTTAACATAACTGTGATAAAACATAATAAGTTCATAAGGGACACATTCATCTAACAAAAATAGAAGTTATGTTTTACATCGATATTTCTTTTGGAATCTTATTCTCCATGCACCATCATTATTATTTGGCTGTAAAACAAATAAAGAAAACAAAAAGTGATTTTATGCTCAACGGTTGCCGTGTTTCGCTTTTGGCGGGAATAAACGGTTTTGGTATGAACTCAACTTTCGGTTTCTTTTATTTTTCTATTATATACACATTGTTTTAATACTATTATAATGTAAAAATATATATTTTGAAATACAATACAATTTTTGACGGAGTATTCACAAAGAAAATATCATTTTGTTATAACCAATTGATTATGTTTCACTAATAACATAATCATCAAATTCACAAAATGATGTGTTATGAATTTCCAAAAAATAAAAAACTACTCCCCATATAAAAAAGAAAATTAGAAAAAAAAATTATGGAATTATTCTTATAATTAAAAAATATATTTTTTAAATAGTCAATTTTTGTCCCTCCTGACGCCTATAAAACCTCCCACACTAAACTGTAGAACCATCGACCCTTCATCATACCATCTTCTTTAAAGAAGACTCTTAAACCCAAATAATATATATTTTACAAGTTTTTGAATTAGTTTACGTTCTGGGTATTTTCAAAATATGATCGCTCTTGAATTTTAAGCAGTTTAATCGCTTCGGTATTACCTAGAACTTGATCATTTCATATCAAAATCAAGATTTTTCGGCGATTTCGACGAAAAGAGGCTGTGAGTAGGCTTAAAAGATCAAGAAAGCACTCCAGTTTCTAAGGAAAATGAGAGTGTTGATCAACAAATGCAATCTTTGGAAGTTATTTGGAATTCTTGAAAAGAAATTCTGTGTGGAGAAAAGTTTTTATTTTTGGATCTTCCAGATTTTCGACAGGTGCAGTTTGGGTACTTAGTTCTACTATTTCTATCTGTTTACTAGTTCTAGCTGTAATATTTTTTAAAGCACGTCGACAAGTTTAGGAATAAATGGGAGGGGCGTCATTGCCACCAGGGTTCCGTTTTCACCCCACAGAAGAAGAACTGATTGGGTATTACTTGAAACGAAAGGTTCAAGGGCTTGAAATCGAACTTGAAGTTATTCCCGTAATCAATTTCTACAAGTTTGAACCATGGGAATTGCCAGGTAGGCTCTTTCTGTTTCACAAATTTGATGCATTCAAACTGTTTGTTTTTTTGCCTCAGTGAAAAAGCAGATTCCTTTTTTTTTTTTTTTTTTTTTTTTTTTTTTTTTTAAATTTTTCATAAGCATGATTTACTTTTTGCTGGCTAGATCTTATGATTACATCATTTGGGCATTTAAATTAGTCTTACTGGAAAGAAATAGCAACTTACTTTAATTGATGTATTTATAATTGCATCCTACTTTCATTTCTTTCTATTGCAACTCATAATATAAAGAATCTATGTATTATAGCAATGTCATATAAATACAAAGTAATGAAAGTAGGATGCTATTATTGTGCAGAACTTTTACAGTATAATGTCCTAATTAGAGAAAAAAAAACCGAAAGTACAATTCTATATAAGAAATAATTCAAAGTACGATGCCTTTATAAGAAATAATTCAAGTACAATGTTGTAATTATCTAATTGCACAAGTTCGATCCATGGCGAATCTTGATTATATAGACTAACTATTAAATTTTTGTGAATTATAGAGAAATCATTCCTTCCAAACCACGATATGGAGTGGTTCTTCTTTTGTCCCCGTGATCGAAAATACCCAAATGGATCTCGCACAAATCGAGCTACAAATGCTGGTTACTGGAAAGCCACAGGAAAAGACCGGAAAGTCCTTTGCCAATCATCTCTTTTGGGCTACCGCAAGACCCTCGTCTTCTATAACGGACGAGCCCCAACCGGAAATCGAACATGTTGGGTCATGCATGAGTATCGTTTATGTGATGATGTTTCTCAAGGGACATCAAGTTTTCAAGTAAATATTACAATACACCACTTTAATAAGTCCCCATTTGTTACACCTGACACAACATGATATGACATGACATGACTACTGGATTGGAATTTACTATTATCATTAGGTCAGGGTGTTACAAAAAACTGCAATCTTTGTCCAATGCTTGCTGTCATGCGTAAGAAATCGGGCCTAAATTATTGATTACTATGGAAATTTTACAAGTATTCACCATGTTAATAATTTTCAGGAACCTTTCGTGCTGTGTCGTGTGATGAAAAAGAACAAGCAAAGAACAAGTTATGTTAATAGTGAACCGGAAACTAAGGGAGATGGAAGCAGTGAGAGCAATATTTCAAGCCCTCTCACTTCTTTTCAGACAAATGAACCAACTTATTCGATTGAGCGTAATGATCCTCCTAGCTTTCAGGTCTCACCCGACTTGATTCTAGAATCTTCAAAGGTATCTTTCCAAAAAAAGAAATAACTGTTAATTTGATGAAATTAGGTGGTTCTAGGGTTTGAGGCTTGAAAAACGTATCTGAGTTTTAGTTCCAATGTAGGCACTACGCCCGTTATGACATTCAATTAGTGGGCCACTGTATACCTAATTTATATATTAGGGGTTGCTGGAAGAATAACTCATGTTTTTATTTTTGTGATGATGATGACAATGTAGGAAGTATGCGAAGGAGGAGTAGGAGGGCGTTTTGGGTATTTCCAACGAAGTGAGATTCCAACGGCTCCATGGCAGTCGTTTGGGATCTCACCAAGTTCATCATACTCGAATTTTACAGAGGAAGATGATTTGATTCAATTTGGCAGCATGTCACCCCTATATTTAGGAGACGAAAACTTGATGGAATTCTTTGAAAACGAAGATCATGATTGGACTAATTCACATGGAAATTTGAACCCCTTCTGAAGAACAACATAGAAAGATAAAATGGACGAATGAATTTATCTTTTATCAAATGGATTGGTCGAGAAGATTGTTGGTGTTGTGTGTTTAATATATGTAGTGTTGAATGCAAAATTTAAATGGTGTTTTCAGACATGTATTTTAAATATAGAACTACTAAAAGAATATATCTTTGAATAATATTCGGATATTTGGTATGTAATTTTTGTAGTTTTTCTTTATTCTTTTTACTGTTATAAATATGTAGAGGGTGTTATAGTACTACTTACCAAAGCATATAAACATTAACAAGGTTTACACCACTAAACGACAAAAAGAATATCTTAATTAGTAACTGTAGGAACGAAAGGGTCCTTAGCTCAGTGGTAGAGCATTTGACTGCAGATCAAGAGGTCACCAGTTCGAACCTGGTAGGGCCCTTTCTAAATTACTATTTTTATGTTAAGATTAATTACACAAATCATCCATTAGGTTTTGTCCAATTCTTACCACTCAACGTGTATATATATATATATATATATATATTTTACACAAAAATTCAACCGTATTTTCTTTCGATCCAAGCTATGGGGCAAAACTTGAAGATACCTTCAAACACAAACACATTTGTTCTAATGCGGTTTGCACAATACGAGATTCATATGAACATATTCAACACAAACTCACCACAAATACAATTTCAAGGAAATTTCTTTAATCCCGCCACACCCCCAATACAATTTCTTATATCGTCCTAGATGCAACAAAACTCAAATCTTCAACAAAACATTTCAATGCTTTCGCAAACGACCACACAACCACCACCCACAAAACCATCGCAAGAAACTATTCCTGAAACACAAGCAGGAGGCAGTCGGAAAGGTAGAGGGAAAGGGAAAGCAATCGCGGAAAGTGAAGAAGAACCTCCATTATGGTGGACACCGGAGGAGGAGTATGCGTTAGCGGTGGCGTGGTGCATGACTTCAAAAAATCCAAATGTAGAAAATGATATGTAGAGAGTTGATTTTCGGGAAGACATGCTCGGAAAATGCCATACGATTTTGAAGAAATAGCCATATCGCAATATTGATATGCTTAGTAGTAAGTGGACTCCAATCAGTCGTCGGTGCACCAAATTTAATGGGATTTTCATGAGACTTTCTTCGCAAAAGCAAAATAGTGTGCATGATTTCGATGTATTCAAAGCCGCGAGGGAACAACATCACGTCGAAATAGGGAACACTTTTGAGTATGAAAAAATATGGGAGATTTTCAGAATAGATCCAAAATGGATTAAAGCGCAAACATCGTCAGAGGCACAATCAAAGAAGTCTCACAATTCTATTTTGTTTGACATTTCCAATGCACGACCTAACATCAACATCAACGCCGATATGGATGACATCCCAACGACATCGAAGAGCCCCCAGGTATAACACACCGAAGCACGCTCACCGACATGTGGAGGAATCTCAAAGAATAGCACAAGAGTTGGTGGAAATGAAAGAAAAGTTCGACCAACACAATTCAATCGAACAAAAAAAAGGTTGAAGTGCAACATCAACACTTGGTGTTCCTTCGTAGGCAAGCGGAGGAAGATCAAATGATGAAGAGGAAATTTTGGGACCACGAAAAGTGTAAGTGCTCCGAAATGAGGTGAGGATCGAGAAGAAATATTTAGACTATGACTATTATATCGTTTTTATGTTATTTTCATTCAATGTTTTTTGTGTAATGTTATTTTTAGTATTAAATGTTATGTCTAATTTAGGATTTAATTAAATTGCATGTCTTATTTTTTTATACATATTCTAATGTAAATAAAAAATATACAAATTGGAAAAATACAAATTAAATAAATCGAAAAAAAATAAGTTGAAAAGAGAAAAAGAATAAAAAAAATGATGACATGGAAAATTGAGGGTGTTATAACATGTTGTCAATTTTCTCAATTGGTGTTATAACACCATGGGGTGACATTGAATGTGAGGTGACAACTTTTGGGTGTGATAACACTCCTTAACTAGTTGCCTACAACCACTAGTCTTAAAAAGCAAACGAGCCTCTCCACCACTCATATTCTCATCCCCTTCTTCCTTTTCCATTTAGATACATCGTCGACTTGCACTTTCAGCCAGTCCTATTTTTCAAAACATGTAGCTGTGTCCTCCAACTATACTTATGTATACATCGAGTATCATTACATAACAAATAGGTTACCTGCGTATACCAAGAATACACTTATTCTTCAAAGCATGTAGCTCAGTACGCTGACTATGTATACATCGAGTGTCACTACTCAACTAATAGGCTACCCGCTTAGCTCAAGAATACACTTATTTAGCAAAGCATGTAGCTCCGTCCATCGACTAAGTATACATCAAGTATCATTACTCAACAAATAAGATACCCGCTTATCCCAAGAATACACTTATTCTTCAAAGCATATAGCTTGTCCACCGACTATACTTAGGTATACGTGGAGTATCATTACTTAATTAATAGGCCACTCGCTTAGCCCAAAAGTACACTTATTCTTCTAATCGTGTAGCCTGGTCTACTTACTACATCAATATATCCATTACACTTAAACTACCCAAGAAGCATATTAGTTGTTCATGACACCTATCATTAACCCAACAAAACACATGCCAAATATCTACCTAACATCTGTCGAAATAAGGAAAATGTGTTACTAGACACATAAATCAATTAATTCCCAAGAATTCTCCAGTTACTTAAGTGAGTTAGAAATTTAACAGTCCCCATAGCAAACAACCACCATCAACAACTATCAATGTACCAAAAAGACAAGCCAGAAAATAAGAGTTAGCTAGGAACACAAGCAAAACACCAAGTTCATGCTTGGCTACAAACACAAGAGCATAACCGACTCACATAACCCACACTATCAGGACTTGTTAAGAAGTTGAGCATGCAACACACCATTCTCCTGGAGACAAGCTTCGTACTTCGCCTAGACTAGCATTCCTTGATTTAGAGGACCTACCTTGTCCATGGCATCCCAGTGACGTATCGGCAAGTCGGCTTACATCTCTCCGGCTTTCACCATCATTTCCTCGCTTGCAAGCTTCATGCCTTCGGCAACACGTAAATTCACCTCCTCAGCTAGAAACCAGTCTCGCAAGGTTAACAACTCGTTGAAAATTTTGAGATCTCATCCGAATACGGCAGAGATAATTTTTGCAGCACCAGCTATAAACCAGCATGCTTCGTCCAACTCTTCCTTAAACAACACACGAGAAGGGAGACCCACCTACAAAGTTGGGAAAATAGAATTAACATAATGAAATAATCATTTACAACCCATATCATAAATCTAAATACGTAACGCATGACAATTAATTTACATACAAGTTGGTATGAGGGAAACATTACCAAAAGAAGGAGAGATGAATTAAGCACCCACATGGGAAATCTCCTAGAGAAATTGTTCAAACTGATCAGGTGAAAGGACCCGCCTATGCTTTCGACTAGAAGAGACACTTCCTGAGGGTATAACTCCTGCGGAGCTAAAAGAACCAACTTGTATAAAGCTGATCACAGGACAAGATATGTCTAACAGTTGATTGATAGAGAAAGCATTCGGCCCAAACCCTAGAAGAGCAATGGGTGATTCGGGCATCGAAGTCATCCGATCCATATTTTGGTCAAGAACCACGTCTTCCACCACAATGGACTTGGGAGGGATATCATCGGCCAAATAAGACGTTAGTTGAAATGAGCATTTACTCCTATATGCAATGATAAATGAGTATAGAGAAGACACCCAGAGGTAGCATTTATATCAGGAGATTACCCACAACCACGGAAAGAAAAGAGAAAGGAACTTATGCTAAATCCAGTAAAAAGTTTAGATAAACACGCATGACATACAAATAACACTGGTAGTTGACAAAGGCTTTCCAGAATGGGCTCATATGACACAGGGCAAGTACAACTTCCGGAAAAAATGCTCTCTTTACAAAGAAATGAGAAAATAAAGGCACAAACACAAGAAGATTGGAAGACAAAGATACTGAGTAATCACCAAGTGAAACATAACATGGAACAAATGGTAAACACAAGCTATGTATGTCCACCCAGCAGAACCTACTTTTATAGTTCCTATTCGAACGAGCTAAATCTGGAGAAAGAGAAAAGTGACAACTACTAAAAGAAAATTAGTCACCGTACTTCTTTAAGTGATAAAATAATGAAACAAGGAGACATGAAGAGGTATCTCATGAGCAACACAAAAAACATCAAAAAGTGAAAAATCGTTGACACTGCATTTAGACATAGCTGGACAAGATGGACTTTATAGTAACAAAGAACCTCTAAAAAGAAGCAAGACAGGGGTAACTGTAACCCACATACAAGATGTGGAAGATAGAAACCAATCTTACCAAGCGGGGTATCAAGAACAGACAAATATGAAGGTGAAATTTAGAAACCAAGTACAAGAGAAATGTGATATTCATGAGTATAACGCTCCAGCATGCAACAGTCCACTTTAGACGCTACTGTAGACATGCCGTCACTCATACCAGTCACAGTAACGGTAAATCAAAGGGACACATGTAAGGAATATTCTACAAGAACAATCAAGATTACATGATAAATAATCAGATGGACCGGTTAAAGCATTTATTACGAGTAATATAATCAAAGCAAGCAAGATGATGTGCGATGGCATTTAATGCACAACATGTGAAGGATTTTACAGTACCCGATACAGATTTAAAAGTCTGAATGACAAAAATATTTTACGAATATTCTTTTACCCTTCAGACTGGGGGCTTAACGGTGTACCAGGCTGGTAGTCCGAGGAAACCCATTATCGACTTAGTACTCACGAGGTCGGTGCTACAAGCATTGCTACTTGTTTTGACAAATATTAATTCAAATGCATCGTATGCAAGCATCAGAATCGACTACTACAAAATATGCCAAACAATACAAATCAAATAAAATAAGCAAGGAAAGGACAGGAAGTGCGACCGCTCACATATCGGTCTAAGAAATGGGCATTACTAACCGCATTTATCCTATAAATACCCCCGAAAGACAGGATAACAAATAGGAAGTTAGGGAGAACACATATCCTTAATACAAAAGCAACACCAAAAATTCACAATCTAACTTAGGCATCAGAGAGCTATGTTGGGGTCCAACCCTTTGTATGGTTGTTTGACCTAGTTTTTGTTATTCTTATGTAGAGTAAATTCTCGGATGCTTTTTGGACGAGACCCTCCACGGTGAAAAAGCTAAGCATGCGCCTGGAGTTCATCATATCAACACACCACACTCATAATATCACCACCACCTATATCAATTCTACCACCACCACTGCCACACAACTTCTTCACCACCAAATGTGTATCATTCAATCAGAAACAGATGCCAAAATTTGACAATAAAAAAACTTAATGTTTGATAAAAAAAAAAACCATCCCATTTATGCTCAAATATAGAACAAAAATACAAAACTCATAATCGATGATGGTGAAATTCCCAAATCAAACTTCAAATTATTCATGAAATCCCTAAATCAGGCGTGAACCAAAATCCCAAATTGAACACCAACTGAAATTGAATCAAGAAAGGACGGTAGTTGGTGGATGGGGTTATAGTTGTAGAGACAAAGCAACTTTTAGGATCAACCTAATCAATGATGGTTGGTAGTTAGGGTCAGATTTTCAATACGATTTCTAAAAGAAGGTAGTGATAAACTCTCGATGAACATAACTCCGAAACAATCTCTAGTATTGCAATTGGGGGCTGAAAATTAGCAAAAATGATGTAAACATGTGTAAAGATAATGGTGTAGTGTTGAGTCGGTCTTCTTAAGATGATGCTAGGAGTTTAATGGTGGTGTCAGTATGATGTTGAATAGATGATGATGGTGAAGAGTGATGAGGGATGAAAATGTGTTAAGTTGATGATGGTGTAGGATATAGACAAGATTACAATGGTGAGATGGTGGTTCGGTGATGATGAAATGGAAAATATTATGGTGGATTAAGAGGATTGTGAACATGAAATGATGGTGGCCTAAACTGTTGATGGTTGGATGAAATGTTGATGGTGTTTAGAGTTCATAAAAGTGTTAGGTTTTCTATGCATCTAAATACAAGATCATGTGGAGTAGAAACAAAACATTAATCTTATATGCTCATGTACCCTAAGGATATAAGTTTCATGCTTTTACAGTTAACCTACTAAAACATAAAGAAATAATAATTACATACCTCTTATGTAGCCATTGATCTCCATGCTTGAGATCTTATCATCTTCAACATTGCTTTGATGAGAGGACACAAACCAAAACCCCTCTAATGGTATCATACCAAAACACTAAAGAGAGAATTAAAAATAAATAGGAAGAAGATCAAAATTCAACAAACCCTAATAAGGGTTAAAAATTTCGTTCCCATGGAGCGGGGAAAGAAGGAGGCAAATTTTCAAGGAAAATGAGAAAGAAGAATGAAATCATAAGCACCCTATTTATAGGCCTTGGATCCTTACCATAGTTTGTGACACCCCGGACCAGAACGGCAGAAACGTCCAGAGGCGGATGACATCATTGTATAGTATCGTTACAGTTGTATATAAATGAAACACAACAATCCACACATCATACATTGAAATACAAACTTACATTGTTTTACATAGTATATTTGTTCACATATTACTGTTGGATTAGTGTCTAAGCCCGTAACCATATTTGGTAAGTACTTGACCCGGTTGTGCATGGTCCTTTTGGGTTGCCTTCACCAAAGCAATTTGACTGGAGAAATAAATAGAGAAAGAGGTTATTATGATTTATTAATATATTATAAGAATAATATATTAAAGGACAAATCATATTTGTTTAATTAATATTGGTCAATAATTAATTAGGAATTGATTTTGTGATCAAGTGTAATTAATTAAACTAAAGGGGTTGAGTTGTAATTATGTGATAGTTGCCAAATAGGGAAATGGTTACCCTAGATATAGGGCAGACGAATTCAAGGGATAAGGATCCTTGAAATTGTCCAAGGATAGGGCTTTCAAGGCTTATCTTATGGTTACTTGGTGGGCAAGCAACTAGATAAGGACAAGGACTAAACCCTAATCTCTACCTTATATAAAGACCCCAAAGGCCATAGAAATCGTCCCCACTTGATCCCTAGGGTTCCTAGAGCCGATTTCTACCTCTCCATTTGCTTGTGGTGTTTGTGAGCCATTAGAGGTACTACACTTGTGGTACTTTCTTTCAAGACTTAGGGTTTGAAGATTTGAGTTGTTATTACAATATAACAACAAGAGGTATGTGATCTATCTTTCTATGTGAATTTCGAAAATAGTAGGAGGATGCTAGGGTTCTTCATGGGTTCATAATGTTGTGTATCTAATAGTGAAAACATAGATCCAAATCTAGGATTGCATGAACACATAGGATTGTTTGTCTAAAACCCATCAGTGGTATCAGAGCCTTTGGTTACCTTGTTTTTGTTGGAATAATGTCTAAGGCTGCAACTATATTTGGTAAGTACTTGACCCGATTAAGCATGATCCTTTTGGGTTGTCTTCACCATAGCAACTTGATAGGATGATTTACAATTAGAGAAGAAATATTATAAGGAATAATAATATTGTTATTTGATTAATATAAGTCATAAATTAATTAGGAATTAATTTGGTGACTTAAAGAGATTAATTAAATAGAAGGGCATAAACTGTCAAGTGTATGATAGTTGTACTTTAGGCTATTATCCCTTATGGATAAGGGGTAGACGTTTTAGGGCTTTGGATAGACCTAGAATTCATCCAAGGCTTATCATTAGGGTATTGGATTGCTTAGGGCCTAAGTTATCCAATTAGGGTTTAAGGGTGAAACCCTAGGAGCCTTACAAGTATAAATAGACCCTAGGGGTCATGGGAATCGGCACCCTTGTCACTAAAGGAACCCTGGCCGATTTCTTCCGCCCTTCTCCTCTCTCTATAATCATGCTCTTGCTAGTTGGTGTTTGTAAGCCATTAGAGGAGTGATAATTGTGACTCTAAGCTCCAAGGACAAGAAGATTCAAGCAAACAACTTAAGGTAATCTTCTAGATCTATTTTTCTTATGTTATTACCTAGATCTAATGTTCAAAAGTCTTGGATTCAATGCATGTTCAATTAGAGAAACCTAGATCCAAGCATTAGGGTTTGTATGTGCACATAGGAATGTTCATATGGCCAAAACCCATTCGTGGTATCAAAGCCTAGATTGGTTTCTATTGAATTGATGCATTGGTTGCTTGTTTGAGCTTGCAAAATTCGAATTTTGTGATCCTGCCTGATGAACTCGGCGAGTAGGCCTCAACTCGACGAGTCCATTGTGGTACCCGGCGAGTTCGAGCGTCAGAAAGAGCTAATTTCAGGATTTCTTGTTCTTTATCCTTTGGATACTTACCTTAATCATATTACGTCAATATAAATCCGATTTTAAGATATATTTGAGTATATTCTTGACCTAATTGAAGATATTTATCAATTAATTAAATATTAGTTTCCTTATGTGATAATTGATTAATTATTTTAATTAAATTGGTAAATTGTTTTGCAAGAAATAATTAAATAAATCAAATATGGATAATTATGTGATTAAATGTTAATTTAGATTATTTGTTATTTGATCCCCTATGTTTTGAAAAGTTTAAAACCTGCCCTCAAGTTTTGAAATTTATGTTTTTTGATTAAAAGTTTAATTTAGACAATTTAAATTTCAAACCTTAGAATTTTACAAGTTTAAAATTCAACCTCATACTAATATAATATTACAAGATTAATATATATATATATATATATGTATGTATGTATGTATGTATGTATGTATGTATGTATGTATGTATGTATGTATGGATGTATAATTATAATGCTAGTCTTACCGTTAGTAGGCCTCATTGACGAAGCCGGTCTATAAGGTGGGTATAAGGTTGCTGCCTATAAAATGGCGCTTAATGGGTGTACACTCACACCCACCGCTTTCTTGATCGGTGGAGGGTCGTTAGTCGAACGGGTAGGATAGGGCAACCTCATCTCCTCATTAAAAGTATCATATGAAATACAAAGTAACTACATGTTTTTCAAAAAATTCCAATCCTAGTTACTTTAGGAAAAGTGAATTGATGCAATCCCATGAAATTACACTTTGCACCCTTGTTAAGAAGTTAGTGGAGCGTGTGTGGTTTACCGGCACACTAATTGGATCTAAGAAAAGGTGGCAAAGGGTGATTCATTGTTTATCATAGTTCGATGGAGCGTGTGTGGCTTACCGACACATCGAATAGGTGATTGTTACAATGAAGGCACCATGTGAATTTGCATAGTAATTCACACCCACTTTGTGATCCTCGGTATCCCAGTCACAAACGAGAGGGGCATATCGAGATTTAAACATGCCATTGAAAAGTTTCAATGAATCTCATCTAAACCTAGGAATTCTCAATACACTTAGAGTTAAAGTTATGTCTTATGGTGGAGAATTAGTGAATCATCATTCACTTACCTTCAAATTGTTTGCATGTTAGATTACGGAATCCCTTTTCTAATATGTAAATATTGTTGTTGGATCCTATCCCTAATTTTTCTTGGGTAATATTTAGGGATTCAAATTCTAATTTATCTTTGTCCTTTCTATTTGTGGATGTCGAACGCGAACAACGCTGCTGCTAGCTCGTTCACATTGATGAGCCTTTGCCAAAAGGTGACTTTCGATGGGACGAACTTTAGCGAATGGATAAGATACATTCGCACGATTGCTCGCCACGAGGACAAGGAGTATTTTCTTGATGAGAATCTCGAGAAGATCAATCCTGAAATCGCTACTCCGGCTGAAATCACCGCTTTCGAAACTCATGAGTGTGATGCAACGAAGGTTCATTGTATCATGAT